ATCATGGAATGACAAAAAACAACTGCCAGCATATGGACACCATCTGGAGACTACTAAATTGGGATTGACTGACTGATGATTTTAAGATCTTAATTTTGTTTTTGAGAATGTTATGATGATGTTTTTAACCTGTTGCTTTACTATTTACAATTTATGCCCAGAGCCCTGTAATTGGGGACTGGGCAATCCAGAAATTTAAAATAGAAATAAACTAGGAATAAGGCCTGTTGTGGAAATAAATACAACAAGCTCTAGAAAGAGGCTCTGGGCGGGTGCCCTGGCCTTGGGCACTCAGCATCAATTTGCTGTGGTGACCTCAGCAGGGTATAATGACACAGAGTCCAATATTTTCTCCAGGGGAACTGATCTCTGTCATCTGAAGAGCAGTTGTAATTCTGAGTCATCTCCAGCCCTCACCTGGAGATTGGCAACAATGATTCCACAGGAGGAAATGGCTGGTTTGGAGGGTGGAGTCTATGGCATTGTGCCTGTCTGAGGTCCCACCCCTCTTCAAACCCCACCCTCTCCAGGCTCCACCCCTCAGATCTCCAGGATTTCCCCAACCTGGAGTTGGCAACCCTATTTCCTTTCCAGCCAACCATCAACATACCGTATCTGCCCCTGTGACTTCAGGTTTCCATCTCCTCCCCCCTCACCTGCAGCCTCTACCTAGGAAATGTAGTCTTTCTCCACAGTGGGGACCAAAACAGCTTACATCATTCTCCTCTCACCCTTTTGATCTGCACAACAACCCTGTGAGGTAGGTTAGGCTGAAAGTCTGTGACTGGTCTGAAATCACCCACTCAACTTCCACAGCAGGAACCTGGGTCTGGCAGACCCTGCTCTGAAGTGCTAACTGCTACGTCACACTGGCTGTCATAGGGGGGCTACCTCAGCAGGGTATGAGACAGAGTCCACCATTTTCTCTGGGGGAACTGATCTTTGCCATCTGGAGAACAGTTGTAATTCTGAGTGATCCTCAGCCCTCACCTGGAGATTGGCAACAATGGTTTCCAGGAGGAAAAGTACATTCTTTCTCCATGATGGGGACCAAAGTAGCTTACATCATTCTTCTCTCCCCCTTTTGATCCGCACAAGAACCTTGTGAGGTAGGTTAGGCTGAAAGTCTGTGACTGGTATGAAATCACCCACTCAGCTTCCACAGCAAGAACCTGGGTTTGGCAGACCCTGCTCTGAAGTGCTAACTGCTACGCCACACTGGCTGTGGTATTGCGTGGTATCACAACTGAATTCCAGAAAACAGATCTCTCTCTCCCCCTGGAAAAAAGAGCTGCTTTGGAAGGTGGGCTCTATGGCATTCTATTCAGCTGAGGTCTCTCCCCTCCCCAAACTCTGGCTTCCATAGACTACATCAAAAATCTCCAGGAATTTCCCAACCTGAACCTGGCAACCTTAGTCAGGACTGGCTCCGATGAGTTTCCCACTTGAAAAGAGCCTCCTGCCTTTTCCTTTTTACTGACAGAAACAAACTTGGTTGCCTAGCAACAGCCACTGAGGGGAAAGTGAGCTGCAGAACAGTTTTGGCAGTTTATTCAGACAGCGAATGGCAGTGGACAGGGGAGAGGAGCAGACCTAGCACCCAGCCAATGACATGCGAGTACTCTTGAGTGGTGGTTGATGGGCCAATGGCTGATGGAGCGCACAGCACAGTCAATGGGAGAGCCGGAAAGTGCCAATATGTTGGGTGTGTGTATATATACGCCAAGCTTTCACACTTGCCCAGATGTCATCCCTTGAGTTAGATCTAGAGTTACAATATTGGCCCAACCCTTTAGGTTGCCACCCCTCACTGCACGCAGCCAATGAGATTAGTTTCAAGGCCCAGCCCTTGCGAGCCGCCCCCCCCCCCCCCGTCTGCTGTAACTCCTCTTTTGTCCAGCTTTCTATCCCAACCCCTTGAATCCATTTGATCTCTTAATCTGCAGTTAAGAGACCCACATAAGCTGGCTGGTTCTAGCTGTGTGTTAAATTCCCCTAGAATTCTTTTCTTCCCATCCATTCTTCATTGGAACTAAGAAGCTGCAGGACAGATAAGTATTGCTCTCTATCACCCCACCTGCTAATGCAAAAGTGATTCTGTGTATCTCTGTATCTCTAAGGAACTTGATTGAATGTGTGTGAGCTTCAGTATTGTTTGTATGTGATTTATATTTTCATAAGTAAAAGACAGTTATCTTAGTAACAACAGCTTCAACTCCTTTTACTGGCAAACCCTTGGGGTGGACTGGACCTTGGTAGACACAGGCAAGGACCCAGATTAAAATTTGCCAACTGCTGTAGATAAAGCAGTTCGGCTAACAGGATGTACTAGTTTCCAGAAAACGCGGGGCAAGGGCGAGCATCTGATCGCGTCCCATCCTAGTCCCGTCGCAAACGATCATGCGCATGCTCACCTTTTGGTGAGAAAAAAATTCCTGTTTACCGCGGAAGCGGCGCCTAGCAATTGCTGGTGTGATTGTGGCGCGCCGCTTCTTTGCTGCGCTGCAGGATAGCCGTGTGATCGGCACCTCATGCCCTAACCACGGGACCTCGATGGGACGTGTGATCGGGCAGCCACGCGTTATTTTGCTCAGGGGCAAACAGCCACGCTCCTCCCCCCGCGTTTTCCGGCCCGTGTGACTGGGGCCTGTATACATTTAATTGTATTAAAAGTATAATTTAATTCCATTAACAATTATTTGACAAAATATAAAAGGTATTTCCCCACAATACTGTCCTAATCTAACAGCCTGATTCTATAGGAGGCTTTAATCATCACAATGCAAATGGGGGAAAAACTAAACTTGCCATAAAACTGGGTTATGGCTATACCTATGCAGGGGATCTGGGTTACTTCAGAGGCTCATTCAGTATGAGGTAGAACCACAGGCCCCACTCTGAGGGGGCAAATGTGAAGTGCTCCACCCCTACCCTACCCCATGGAGGGAGGAGAACAATAGCAGTTTCCTGCTTCCACTGCTGCTTGCGTTTGCCCCCCATGGGGATCAGGTAGCTGGCTCATGGAAGTGGGCACCTGTGCCAGGGCCTGGCCAGCCAGCTTTCAATGGCAGCTCTTGCCAACTTGCATAGGGTGAGGACTACCCCCTTGCTTGGCAGTGCAGCTGATGGCCGGTCAGGAGGCAGTGATTCTGGACTTGTACCTAGGGCCCCACTAAACTATCTGATAACACATGATGAAATACACGTTAACTTTCACATTACACGTGAACTTATATGAAGCTGTCTTATACTGACTGAGAACACTGGCCTATCAAGATAGTAATGGCTACTGTGACTGGCAGTGGCTCTCTCAGATCTCAGATCACTTTTAACTGCAACTGCTGAGGATTTAACCTGGGCCCTTCTACATACAAAGCAGATGCGCTACCACTGACAGACAGCCTTAGCACTCACTGAGACATGGTCCCTTCATGTTCTGCACTGATCATGAAACACTCTGATGAATAAGGAAAAATACCTGACAGCCAGTGTGATGTAGTGGTCGGGCTAAGATCTGGGAGACCCAGGTTCATCAGATCCCCACTCTGCCATGGAAGCTTGCTTAGTGACCATCACTCTCCACACTCCCCAATAACAGGTTGACACCGGGGGGAAAGGCTAGGTTGTGTTTATTGTTGTTTCCCCAAATAACAGAGTCCCAGGTTCAAGTACCTGATTACAGCCTGGAGATCTGCCTATTTTCTTATCTTCTCCACTTGTCTACATTAAGCCTCTGCTCGTACTGCCAGGCCTGAGTTCCTGTCTCTAGCCCCTGCACCCTCACCACAGGGTTAGGCTTTCAGGTGACCAGGCCTCCAGAGAATAGCTTGCTATTCTTCTGACCTTCCAGACTTTTCCAGCTGTCCTCCTGTGCTTTGCAGCCAGCTCTCTGCACCCCCCCCCCACTCTTCCTGCTCACGCCTTTTATTCTCTTTTCTCCCACCACACCCACTCCCAGCTCTCTTGGCCTACACCTGAGGAATTTTTACTACTCAGGCGGCCTTTGGGGGGGGGGTGGAGCCGGGAGTGGGCAGGATTTGAGGTGGGGAGGGACCTCTGCAGGGTATATTGCCATAGTGTCTACCCTCCAAAGCAGCCATTTTCCCCAGGGGAACTGATCTTGATAGTCTGGAGATAAGGTATAATAAGTGGGAAATCCCCAGGTGCCACCTGGAGGTTGGCAATCCAAGTTGGTCTCTACTCCCTAGACAGTCTTTGTGCCTTTGGAGGCTAATCCTGGCAGTTATTGCTCCACCTGTTTTTTAGGTGCCCTCAGTGACCAGTCTTTTCTTTCCCTCCTGTGTGCAGCCTCTCTTGGGGCTGTTCCCCCAATTCACACTCCACTCAGGGACCCTTTGTGGTATGACATCCAGTCACACACTCCCAACCCAACCTGCCTCAGAAGATTGTTGTAATTATAAAATAGAGGAGAGGAGAATGATGTGAGACCCTTTGAATCACAATAGAGGAGAAAGGCAGGGTATACATTAAGTAAATAAATAAATGAATAATGCCTGTTATTGTCTTCAGGTGCCATATTTCTCCACCAGCCTATATTCTCATCAAAACTGAAAAGAAGTGATCTAGGGAACCAACAGAATTCCTGATCTCACCCTCTCTCCCATTCATTCTCACCACCTCTTCTCTATCTGGGGCACAGAACTGGGAGGATGAAAATGAAGAAATAGGAGGACACAGTAGCCACAGACAAAGACATATTTTGAGGAGCCATCAACATGAAAAGTGAAACACTACCACACGATTCCAAGCAACAGTAGATCGTTTCGGAAAACTGTGAGTTGGAGGGCTTCTTTAAAATTTCTGTGTGAATAAACTCTGAGCATACTAAACAGATTTTAAAATGATTAAAGAGTGTTTCTGATTTTGCATGAATTACGAACAGCTTACTGTGACAGTTCTATATTCCAGTGTAAAAAAAAAACCCCAGCCTGTGCTCTTATAAGTGATAAACTATTTTTAAAAACTGATTTCTTCCTTACCTCCATTTTTTCCCATATAATTTCATAATTATCCTGGTGTTGTATATCTTGCATTAGCTGCTGAATTAAAGCTGATTTATCTGAGGTTGATACTTCATTCTTATCAGAAGGCTGTGTTGCTGAGTGTGTTTGTGTCCTATCCTCTATGTACTTTTTAATGCTAGTTGAGGACGTACAAAGCTCTTCATCTGAAAGTATGTCACTAAGAGGACCAGATTCAATGCTGTCACCAACTGAAGATACAATGTCACTTGAAGAACTTGGTGAAACTCTCCCTAATCTTTTTTGCTTCTTTTTAATTTGGTATGTGGGATAAAGTTCAGAATCAGAGTTCATTTCCGAGAGTTCCCAGTCATCAATGTTTTGAATGGTCTCTCCTTGAGGTTTCTGTGGAAGTAGCTTTGTCAAATTTTCTAACTTCAGAGCAAGCACTTCAGTCTGTTTGAGGTGTGATGGAAGTGCTAAGTACTCATCGGAACCATACCAGGCCTCAACAACTTTACTACCAGTATTAACAGAACTTGGTGAAGACAAGTGAGCCTTTTTGTCCTCACTTCTTGGAAGAACTGGGGATGAGGACACCACCGACTCTGAGTCAGCTGAAGACCCATCTACTTGACTGTGAGCTGATGAAGTACAACAGTCACTGCTGTACCGGCCATTCAGTTCTTGCTGTTTACAAGGGTCAGAAGAAGTGGAAGTTGAATCACTTTCTGTTCCTTCCATGGACTGTACGCTACCAAAAGGAATTCCATTTTGCAAAGAAGAAGCTGTTCTTTTTTTTACCTGCTTTGCCGATGTTGCATTCGATACAATTCCAGGTATCTTGCATGATGCCACCTCCTCAGGAATGTCATGTGTTTTCTTGCACCTCAGTTTCTCCCTTCTAGTGAAGTGACTAGGCTTACCTAGACCAAGCGAACTTTCCTTGAGGTGTTTTTTTATTGCACGTTCAAGGTTCTGATCACCTATATTGTGCAAACAATCACAGGACTGACTGATGGCAGAGGGACAGTTAGTGTATGCCGTTTGTAATGCCAGACAGAGCTTGGACCTGTCTGGTGGATCTAACAATGAGGGTGTGCTCCTACTTATTTCTGTCTTAAACATAAGAGAGATTTGGTTTTTTATATCATTAACAACCATGTCTGTTTTAAATATGTCTTCTTTTAGAAACAAACCTCTTTTGGGCAAAGTGGGCTGGGTGGGAGAATCCTCGTTGTATTCAAAGCAGTCTCTTATTGATCTCTTTGGAGTTGGGTTTTCACAGGGAGGATGTTGCTTGGCTTTTTTACCATTGGATGGTACTGGACTCAATTCCTGTTGGACCAAGTCAGAGACTGTCTCACTTTCAGCTGATATGCTAGAAACTTCAGTGCAAGATGCTTTACAAAGAGGCAAGTTCCCTGAAATATGAGAGAGTGAAAGGTCAGTGGATACAGCGGATGATGCTTTGCCTTCCTCTTCCTGGTCTTTCGACAATGGCAAATGGACTTCTGTTGCACTGATGCCTTTATTATCTTCGGAAGCAATTGTGTCTGTTGCTACCGTCAGTAATCCTACACTTCTGATCAGCTCTGGAAAGTCTTCTTCCATTTCACAACAGTTCCAGGATTCAAATGGTTTTGCTTTAGTCTGACTGGAAGTCATGTCACCAAGGGCACCAAGCAACTCCTCACTAGGGCTGTAATCAGACAGCTCAAATGCAGTGATTCCACAATCCAGTGACAAGTAATTCTGAGAACATTTGATAGTTAGCTGTCCTGAATCATCCACTTCAGTTAAAGAGTCAAGACGTTCCTGTGACAAAATAGAAAAGGGACAGGGTTTTACAAAAATGTATCATTTGGATCAGTTGGTGGCTGTAGATTCTTCTATAGAAAAGAACGTTATAGAAAATAACATTGATACACTAGTTTGTACACTCCAGTGAAAATGGATAAGCTGTAAGGAAATATTTGAGAATAGAATATTAACATCAAAACCCTCCCTGACAAGAGTACTGAACGTCCATAAATTGATTTCTATTTGGAGTAGTGCAACATTTCTGCTTTGCCTATTATTAATAATTAGAGTTATTTCTATTAATTTGTTTATAATCATGTCTGAGGAAAATCTGGCAAAACCCGAACAAAATTTAAAGTAATTCTGCAAGTTTTCTAGGGTGTATTTGGTCTTATTTGTGTGTTCTGTTTTGTGTTCCATTTAGCCAGGGTGTGGGGCACGGCTTCTGAACATCCCATTCCAGGTTGTCTTCCTCCACCGAGAGAGAAAGGAATAGTCCTTCCATGAGTATTAACTCTTCTCAGTGGACACAGAATAACCCATCCCATTTGACACTGGTCTTGACAAATGGAACAAAAATTAAAAAATAACTTGTATAGAGAGGGGGAAGAGAAGGAATCACACCCAAATTCTCTGTGAGTTGATGTCCCCTAGCAAGTATATTGTTTCTATGGGGAGCCAACTCATTGAGGTAGTTTCAGGGTGATTCTTTCACTTCCTCCAATCCCTCTTCTTCCCCCTTTCTTCCTGAGTGATTATTTTTACAGTTGAGTTTTCATACTCCTTCCACTGGTACAAGCAGAATCTGGTTTAGTGATCCCCAATGGCAATGGACATTTCCTCCCCCGCCATGGAAGCCTTTAAAAAAATGGCAATTGAATACTGTTATATCCATATATAAGAGTATTGCCAGGTTCTCAGCTTTCCTTTTTTAAAAAGAAAGTAAATCTCTAGTCTTTTCCTCTGGAGAGATATAAAGGAAAAGGTATATCTCTGCAATGGAAGGAACTAGAGACACACTTTTTTCTTTAAATGAAAGCTAGGAATTCAGAGAGCTTGGCATATGTATTGATATACTATTATATCAATATAGCACTATATATCAATATAACCCTATTCAATTGCCAATTTTAAAAAAAACATTCAAAAAGCCCCCATGGCCTGGAAGAAATGGCCACCACAACACCCAAGCTTTGCAGAAGCCCAAGATCCCAGCAGCATTCACTGTGTTCCAGCTGAGGGGGTGGGCTCTGCTACCTCCAGTGCTAGTAGCAAGGAGAAGCCTTTAGTGGAGACATTGCTGGCAAGGTAAAGCCTGGAGCCAGTTTGGTCCTTTCCCTGTTAAAATTTAAAGGGCTGTCGGTAGAGATAACAACTGTTAGAAAGACACTTACAGCTGTTTCCTGGCCCTGATTCCCCTCTTTCCCTCCTCACTCCTCTACCACCCCCAAACACTCTTGAAATCCCAGGAGATAAATGTTCATTACTCCTGTAATCTGGAGAGTGTTTGGGATTATTTTGGGTGCTCCTGATCTGATCTGAAGCAGTTAATTCTGGGTATAATTTCAGCTTGGGTATATCTGAATGCACACACCCCCTATGACAGACTGGGATCAGGGATCCTGAAATCCCCACTCTGCCATGGACGTTTGCTGGGTGACCTTGGGCCACTCACACTTCCTCAGCCTAACCTATTTCACAAGGGGGTTGCTGTGAAGACAAAATGGAGGGGAGGAGAATGATGTAAGCTGCTTTGGGTCCCCTATTGGGGAGAAAGGTGGGATATTAATGAAGTAAATGAATAATAAATAAAAGTGAATACTGGAGCAGAAGAAGAAAAAGAGAAGAGATTGGATTTATACCCCGCTCTTCACTACCCGAAGGAGTCTCAGAGCGGTTTACAATCCCTTTCCCTTCCCCTCCCCACAACAGACACCCTGTGAGGCAGGTGGGGCTGAGAGAGCCGAGGACTGCTCTTGAGAGAACAGCTCTGAGAGAACTTGTGACTGACCCAAGGTCACACCAGCAGCTGCATGTAGAGGAAGAGTGGGGAATCAAACCTGGTTCTCCCAGATTAGAGTCCACGCTCCTGACCATTACACCAAACTGCAGCAAAGAACACTCTGACCGATTTCCTACAAGCTGCTGCTCCGCGCTCGCTCTTCCCTTTGCCCCGATCGTACGTGTCAATTTCACACCATGTACTGCATGGCCGCATTTTGCCCCGCAGCTTCGCCCGATTTCCCCCGTGTCTACTCACTCCTGTTTTTTGAGGATTGAGTAGACGCGGGGGAAATCGGGCGACGCTGCGGAGTAAAATGCGGCCACGTAGCACCTGGTGTGAAATTGACACGTACAATTGGGGCAATGGGAAAAGTGAGCACGGAGGAGCGGCTAGTGGGAAATCGGTCTCTGTTAAAGAGTGGAAAAGACAGAAGGGATCAGGAAAAGGATAGAGGATATGGGGGTTGCCATAAGGAGCAAAGTATGTAGTGTACAGAATGAGATACAGGAATAAATGAAGTGTCCCCTGCAAGTCCTTATAATAGCGCATTATAAAAGTGCTTTCTAAGTAAACAGTTACTTATAGAGGATCTCAATATAGACAACATAACATAAAATGAAAATGTACTTTAAGGTCTTTCAATTACAGTAATCAGACTTCCTATCAAAAAGATTTTTATATATGAATAAGCACTACAGCCTTATGTGTTAAACATTCCTTCTTTTTCCTTACTGTGTGTACAGAAAAAGAGCCCTCCTAGGTCAGATGAAATGCCCACCTAGTCCAATGTCCTCTTGTGCTCCATAGCCAGCAACTCATATTCAGGGATACATTGATATGAACATGGAAGTAACCTTTTACAGGGCATTGGGAATAACACGTTAAAAAACTGGGGAGGTGCATTTAATTATATGTAATGACATCAGAATTTTCACACAAACACAGACTTTGGTCTATCTAGCTGAAACACATTCAGTATTCCATAATACTGTACACACAGCCCTAACTGGGCAAATAATGCCTCAATCTCAGCTGTTTCAGTTTGGGAAAATGGCACAGGAAGGCAGAAGCCCCTCCTCCCCTGTGCTGTGGTTACAAACTAAATCAGGCCCTGGTACATTTGCAAATTTTAGTTCCCTCAAGTAAGCAAAAGGAATTCCTTGCAACATTTAGTAGTAACATGATCAGAGCTGACTCAGGGAAAAACTCAGTATTGTTCACTCTTTCTGCAAGCAGCTCTCCAGGGTCTCAAGGTCTTTCACATCACTGACTACCAAAACTGTTACCTGGAGGTGCTGGGGACATTCTGCATACCCAGCAAATGTTCTGCCACTGAGGCACAGCCCCTCCCCAGCTTATAACCTCATTATTCCTACTCTACGACTCTCAGACACCTGAATGTTCTCTTCAAGTACATCTATGGTCCCTGTTTTTCCTCCCTGTTCTTAATAACGGCCTGGATTTCTCTCCCTATCAACCTGTGGGGTGGGCTCTTTTTGTAGCAGGAACTCCTTTGCATATTAGGCGACACACCCCTAATGTAGCCAATCCTCCAAGAGCTTACAATACCCCCTGTAAGAAGAGCTCTGCAAGTTCTTGGAGGATTGGCTACATTAGGGGTGTTTCACCTAATATGCAAAGGAGTTCCTGCTACAAAAAGAGCCTTTCAACAGAAAAGCATGGTATAACTGTCTAGTTCTTTAATTCTTACTTTTAAAGGAGAACTATGAAGCTTCTCTCTGAAGAAAAGCTTTTTGTAGTGCACTGCAGAGAATGAAGCAAGACTCCACAAAACATATTCCAAATTCAGTTCAGGCACACAAAATGGAAGAATGACAGGCCCTAGAATGAATATGCAGTACTCAGACAAAGAGTTAGTTGTTCAACTGCCAAGGAAGGGCTGGAGCAAATATTATATTTGCCATTATTGTAGGATTTGTAAGCATGTGGATAATGGATGTCATGTTGTAACTCTTCATGCACCATCCTTTGCCCATGCACATAAAGAATGTGGAGTAGGGACAAAGAAACTCATAGTCCCATACCCACAAAGTTCTTCCAAAATGAAAGTGCAGCAGGAGTAAACTGCTAAAGAAATGTCATTTTCATTGACATTCTGCTGGCTATGTCCACAGATCCCAACTGCACAACTAATAACAAACTGCTCTAGAACTACCACTCTGGCTCGGGTATCTGGGCAGAACTTTGCAATACATGGTATAGGCTCAGAACCTTGACACCTCCCCCCCCAAAAAGCCCTGCATAAAAATATAATGCATTGCATTCTGCAATCCATCAATGACAGATGCTGACATTTCCATATATTTCCCACATGCCTTTCTCCCAGCAGTCCTTTCTGACCCACAAGTAAATTTATTCCTGGAATCTTAGGACTCATGTGGTTGAATAACAGCACAGGTCAGGAGGCTGCAGGAGGAGACTATTAGGCCATGCAGGTCCTGCAGCCTTGGACATAAACTTTTCCAGAACCAGAAAGTACTGTTTGGGGAGGAGAACACAGGGGAGATGTGTAACCATCACCTCCTTATGTCTGCAGATCATGGGATTCAATCCAATGATTCATAACAATAAACATGTTCATGAAATTCTGTGGTGTGAGGGCAGCTGCATGTTTGGTGTACATGAGTGTTTATTCAGTAAAGGAGGGTCATTTCTCTGTTCAATATCAGTCTACATATGTTCACTGGAAAATAGTTTTTTTTTTTTAAAACCATGCTAGAAAATGTTTATTCCAGTAAAAGGCATGCCAGCTGAAACTGGATATGAAGCAGCAGCAGCTGGTGTAGGTAGGAATCAGGGGTGGGAGAAGAACAGACAGAGCATTTTACCAGGTCAACATTTTACCAAGCCAGATGTTTCTGCAAACCTGATAAAAGCACCAGGTTTGCAGAAAAATCTTATTTTTAAAAAAATACATTGTGGTGTTAACTCCCCCCCCCCAACAATAGAAGCAGCCCCTCTGATGGAAGCCCTCTGAGATCTCAGCGGC